AGGAAGAGATCCCCTTCTCCCTTCTCCACGCAGCTTACGCACGAAACGTGCAGTGTGTGGAGACTATGAGCCGATGAGGGCCCACTGTGGCAAAACGTGACACGAAGCTGACACATGAAGAACAATCTAACGACACAAGTGAATGATTTTTCACCAGATGCCGCCTATCGCTGCCCATAGACTGGTACTGCGGCCACTCCCCACGCCTCGAATTACCCATCGAGTACTAAGCCGAGCAGGTGGACCGGGTACCAGTGTGATGGCAGCGGGTAGGCGATAGGCCACTGTGAAAAACATTTCAATTTTGTTTACATTTTTTTCATTTTCATTTCATTTTCATTTTTTTTCCCATTTTTATTTTCATTTTTTTTCATTTTCATTTCATTTTCATTTTTTTTCCCATTTTTATTTTCATTTTTTTTCATTTTTATTTCATTTTCATTTTATTTATTTTTATTTTATTTTATTTTTTTATTTTCCTTATGGCAGTCTTAGGCCACCATACACCTGTCATGACTCAGGAAAACTGCTACAGGTAGGGGAATTCGAATTTTAAAATTTAATTCGAACAATGCAAATAACAATGCATACATGCAATAACATGAATAACAATGCGTCGCGCAAGCAATAGTGCCCGCTCAGGAGGGCACTATTGTTTCATAGTACATGCGACGTTATCCAATGGAATTTCAACGATTTATCACGTGATGCACTAAGTCTATATAGTCTGTAGAATAAGGTGCATATTGTTCTGACAACACACATGCATATGCATTACTTGATGTTTTGATACGCTTACTTACTGCAAGAGACCATTATTGGGCTCTTTTATATAACCTCTCTTGCTAAATCTTAAACGTATTTCAACAAAGTTTATTAATTGTCAGATACCGTGTTTGTTACATTCGTCATAAGCCTGTTTTATATTTTTGGTTAACTTTATGAAGTTCCTCTTATGTTTAAGATGATTTATACATACTATACATAATACATACATTGTATATGACATATGTATTGTATAGGACACTGCGATTATTAATATACTTATTAAGCTATTGTAATGCATATATTTCTTATAAAATTGTACTAAATCTGACGGGTTTAGCTTAAATGGTAGAGCGCTCGCTTAGCACGTGAGAGGTAGCGGGAGTTTCTACACGTCATACTCAGTTTTCCTTCCATAAATAAACACAATATATAACACATTATATGATATCTCGATAACTTCAGAACTCACAGAAGTCTTGTAATATTACGTCTCGTGGGAGATTAGCTCAAATGGTAGAGCGCTCGCTTAGCATGTGAGAAGTAGTGCGATCGATACCCGCATCCTCCACAGTTTCTGTCTATCGAATAGAAGAAAAGAAATAAAGCATGATCCTATAAAACTGACGATGTATATTTCTTTATCTCTGCCCTACTGTATCACTTTGGAAAGCCGCCCAGCCTATAGAATCAACCTATATTGATACTGAACTATGTTTATAAGCCTATAGTGCATTTAAAAACGAGAGGGCATACTCAAACTTTTGCAATGAAAAAACTATATCTCAATGCCTTCTTTGATAAAAAGCACAGCCTACCGGAATTGACCTTTATTATATCTAATACAGGCTCGGATGTATGCCCGCGTTTGCCCGATGTGTGTGAAAACAAATGCTATTCTGTTGATATTGTGTAATTAAAGAGGCGAGGACATATGGAAAGCCATCCCCTTCAAAAATCATTTTCAAACATTTCAAATACACAATTTTAAATCAATTTAAAACATTTCAAATTAATTAACAAAAATACAAGTTACATTATATTGTTCGAGAAATTTAAATTCAAAATTTAAAATTAATTCACGGAATAACAAACTAATTTATTAACTTGCAAATTAATTCACAACTTTCCAACATAATTGCCTGATATACAAATTCCTTCACATCATTGTAAAAATTCATTTTTCTAAACGTA